AATACTTCTTTAAAACGTCTTCAGTTGATCCAAAATGCTGCTGCCAGTGTCTTAACTGGAGTTAGAGGGAGAGATCATATCTCTCCAGTTTTAGTTTCTCTCCATTGGCTCCCTGTCAAATCCAGAATAGAATTCAAAATCTTACTTCTAACCTACAAAGCTCTCAACAACCTGGCTCCATCTTATAGTACAGATCTTATTGTTCCATATTTTACTAACAGAGCACTTCGCTCTCAGACCGCAGGTTTACTTATGGTTCCTAGATTTTACAAAAACAGAATGGGAGCCAGATCTTTCAGTTATCAGGCCCCTCTCTTGTGGAACCAACTTCCAATCTCTGTCCGTGAGGCTGACACATTATCCAGTTTTAAAACTAGGCTTAAGACTTTCCTTTTTGCTAAATCCTATAGTTAGGGTCGGCTTGGGTTTCCTGAGCTGCCCCTTAGTTATGCTGCTATAGGCTTAGACTGCTGGAGGACAAACTGACCACAATTTTCACTCTACTACTGTCTTTACTTACTCTGCTCAACCTGTTTTGTATTTGTAATTATTTTTTCTATCCTTAACATGTGTTTTTTTTGTCTTTCAGATACACCTGGACCTATACCTGGACCCACCATTCTGTGTTCGTTTGTCTCTCCTTCCTGTCCTCTCAACCAGTCGGTCAAAGCAGATGGCCGCTTGTCCTGAGCCTGGTTCTGCTGGAGGTTTCTTCCTTTAAAAGGGAGTTTTTCTTTCCACTGTTGCCACTTTGCTTGCTCAGGATGGGAGACTGCAACGAAGCCAAGATTCAACTTGTCTGCTGGATTCCTTAGATAGAGAAATTTACTAATTGGCTTTTATGTATGTGAATGTTCCTGTAAAGTGCCATGAGACAACTTTGTTTTGATTTGGCGCTATATAAATAAACTGAATTGAATAGTCAATCATGTTGTTAATTGACCTAATTAGTGTTAATTGGTCTTCCAGCTGTTCATTATATGCTCAATTTCCTTTTTCCAGCCACTTATTGCTACTTGTCCCAACTTTTTTGGGATTTGTTGACACTGTGAAATTTTGAATCAACATATTTTCCTTTAAAATGTTACATTTAATCAGATTAAACTTTTGATCTGTCATTCATGTTATATTACGAATAAAATATTGACATTTGCCATCTCCACATCATTGCATTCAGTTTTTATTCACATTTGTTTAGTGTCCCAACTTTTTTGGAATCCAGTTTGTACTTTGTGTTAAAAAGCTGCAGATTTAAACTTTGTGACATTCACAAGATGTCTTAATAACTTTATATTTTAAAGTCAAAATTTGAGTAAATATTTGAAGTTACTCCATAGTCTCAACAACATTAGGGCTGCTTTAAAACTTGTACGCTGCACTCATTGACCATATCTCAATGTAATGAATCTGAAAAGTACTCTGCAGTTTGAGCTTTTTGGAAAATCTGTTTTAGAAAAAAAAAAAAACATTTTTCCATACTACACTTTTCAAAACTGGGCAGGAGTCTTTTTTTTATACAACCAGTGGTTCACCACTCTGTTGTCTCACCTGACTGGTACAGAAGCTCTTTGCCTTTTTCTTCTTCTTTTTGCTCTTGCACTGACACTTTTCCTCAGACTGTGGCCAGAAGTCGACACAGCTGTCGGCACCATCCTCTTCCTCATCCTCATCTTCAGCACAGCGATGGACATTTGTGTAATCACCTTCAGATTGTAAAAAATAAACTGAGATTAAAACAAGAGACTGAACGTTCAGGCTGCACAGTCGTCCCTCACGGTTCACTTATTGCGGCTTCACTGCAGGTTTTTTTTATATATTGCAGGATATCGCAGTACATACTGTACACCACTGCTGCTTGCGTGAGTGGAAGAGGAAGACACTGCTCATCTCTGCATTGTGCGCTCACTGTCCTGCTACGTCGCGCACATTGCTGAATCACACCGCTCTCAGCGTGTTTGTGTACTTCAGAGATCAGTCTCAAGGACCTTCTCTGTTTGCTCAGGGCCCGTCACACTGGTTGTGTGAGGCTGTTTCACAGGCGTATATTTCCTCTGGATCTCAGCCTCCAGAGGGGCTCAGAGCTCACTCCACCAGAGGAATCTCATCCTACACGACTCCGTATGGAGGAGTGTCAGTGCAGGACATCTGCACAGGAGCTTCATGAGTTTCTCCGTGCTCACTCATCCTTTTTTATCTGCATGATGTCTCCAGCTTCTCCCTGACTCACTGTCCTCAGAGTGATGATGCAGATGTTTCAGTGAGCTCTCCATCTGGCCTGTTCTCACAGCAGCAGGGTTTGACCTGTCAGCCTTTAATCTGAAGCAGAGATTATTTCTCTCTCTGCTGCTCAGTTGGTCTCAGATGCACAGATCCAGTGGCGCATAATTAAGCTTGAGTCAAAGTCTCAATATGGATAGTTTCAAAGAGTGCAAGCAGATATCTGTGTGATTGTGGTACTGAACAGACCCAGTGAGGTATAGACTACAGCCTGCTTCGCCTTTAACACACTAGCAATAGCCTTAGAGGGGGAAGCCTATACAACATAGAATATTGGTTACGTATTGTAACCCCAGATTCTATGAGTAAGCGCAGCCCTTAAAGATTTGGGCCTCACTGGCTCCTACATGGCTGAAGGAAAACAATTTGGAAGTCTGACGAAGCCTCTTGGATGAGGGGCGAAACGTTTCTTTTTAACAAAAAAAAAACGAAGTCCAGATGACATGATTCAACCTTTTTTGTTGTTATATACCTGGATGACTGAGAAAACAAACTTTGTGAATTTGGAAGTCTATTTCCAGTCTCAGCACAATTTATACAGAGTGGGGTGGGGCCCACACAACAGGTGGGTGTGGACTAAAATTTTCAGTGCTGCGCTGCATGCAAAGGGTAAACCTAAAAGTGGGAAAGGTTTGTAAGAGGAACGTGGGAAGGGTTTATAAAGCCTTAAAATATATATAACGTATTTTTCTGACTTTGTCGCCGTTTTTTTTCAGTTTGGCCAGTCCTGCGACGTATAGTCTAAAGCGACTTATACATGTCTTTTTTTCCCTTTTCATGATGCAATTTTTGACTGACACGTTAAATGCTCATTCAAATGTTCATGTACAGACATGAACCAAAGAGTTAACATTACCATTTGAAGCCGCAAGAGGTCCCTCCAGGCTTTTGACATCTATATGTTGTTCCTCTTCTGCCAACTCCCTCCTCCCCCCACATTCTTCCTCTGGAGTTGGCGGAGTTGTTCAGAAGCAACAGAGGACGGTAACTTTCTTGTTGGACTCGTTGGCTTGTTGTGTTAATTAAGCCTGTTCAGGATCCCAGGCATGTTCAGTGTGCGCACAGTGCACGCAAACATATAACCATCGGGTGTGCAAGTCCACGGGGGCGAGCTGTGTGACTCTGTTGTGACAGACACAGACTCAACAAAAGAAGGGAGGGAGCGGGAGGAAGTGTCTGTCTTTCCCCATCACTATAGTGCAGCTTCAGTGAGACCTGAATGAGACCGGGCAAGAGTGGCTTGTTTATTTAAAATAATAAAGCACGACCCGAACCAAGCCTTTAGTCCAGTCCTTCGGCAACCACTGAGCTGGCCAGGCCACCGGGAAATGTCCCGGCGCTCCCGACGGTCAGTCAGCCCGATTGATATTTCATATTAAATGTCTGTCTTTGCACTTCGTGAAATACACTTCTAAATAAATGTGACTTATACTCCAAAGCAACTTATGCTTTTTTCCTCTTCATGAGGCATTTTTTGACTGATGTGACCTATACTCTGGAGTAGGGCATTAACAGAGTACTTGAGTAATCTACACATCGATTGCTAGGACATCTATCGAGGTTAAAAATTTAACATTGAGTATCCGTAGTGACGTCATATTATGTGACCACCGTATGACCGTAGGGGGCGGTGTTGCACTGTTGCAGGTCACAGAGTATGGTGTAAAACCGGGTCCAATCCACCGAACCAGTTTCGGTTAAGTTTTGTTTTTGACGTGCTGCATGTTTCTTTTCGTTTGCAGTTTAATAATAATAACTAATAGTTTTGTTTTTCCTGTGATTTATTTGCAGTATGATAAATGGTAGGAGCATAATATACGCTCCCAATGTTTTGTTGGTCTTTTTTTTTTGGTAAATAATTACCTTTTTTTTGCGGTTTTATTTATTTATTTATTTTTGTATCTTGAGATCTATGACGTCATCAAATACTCGAGTTCTACTTGGGTTTTATTATGTTAATGTCGAGTTTAAAAATTATATACTCGTTCAACCCCTACTCTGGAGCAACGTATAATCTGGAAAATACGGTAAATAATGAAATAATTATAAGGCTGCTACTTTTTGGGGATCTATGGAACATGATCCCCCCACGATAGGTGCTAGATCACTGTATTCTGCTCAGTCCTGACCTGCTTCATAATGGTCGCAGATTCCTTCAGAGCAGGCAACGTCTGAGCCTTCTCGTGACCCCATCTCACTGCCTTCTATACTTGAGGAGTAGCCGCAATCGCTTCCATTACTGTTGTGGGACAAATCTGGAGAAAAAGATAAAATTATCTCAAAGCTTCTTGTTTGGGGTTCTATTTAAGTGCATTAAGAAGATCTGGTTTTGATGGGCTTTTTGTGTGTATGTCTTTACCTTGCTTGGCATTGCTCAGGCACTTACAGGAAGTGTTGCTACAGGTGGCATCATTCCCTTCACAGCCAGCTTCCTCCTCTTCCTCCTCACCAGGGCTACCGCAGGCCTTACAGCTGCTCTCTACAGACTCATAGGAACTCTGCAACACATCAAGACCACGTTGAAACCGAGGCAGAGAAACTTAGCTTACCAGCCACAGTGATGTTCTTAAGCACATCCTCCATCCCATACTTTCAAATGTTGGAAAACTACCTCATCCAGGATTTTCTCCTTGTCCTCTGCCTCCTGTTCAGACATGTCAAAGCCACACTTGTTTTTGCGTCGATTTTTACGCTTTTGCCTCTTTTTCTCCAGCTTCAGCTCTTTGACTCTCTCTTCCTCAGACAGTTCCTCCACAAGCTGCTCGAGTCTGCTGATCCCCTGCATCTTCTCCACAGCCATCTGGGACCAGGGTAACATGTAAGGACGCACACAGCTACGATACAATCAAAGATGAAGCATCGACTTGACTATACCTCAAAACTTTTCCTTAGAGCATCAATTCCCAAATGAAACAAGATCTGCCAGGTCTGCTCCTCTGCCCGCAGTTTCTGCCAGATTCTGTGCAGCCGTTCATAGAGGTGAATGCCCAAACAGGTCAGCACCTCCTCTTGGGCAATGTCAATTGTTTTTGCATGTCTCTCTCTGCGTCTGAAACAACAAAAACAAAGAAAAATCACCATTAGTTCAATCTCTGATTAATATGACGAGAGAAAGACATTGGACAACATGTAGAATTTAGCACAGCAGCATTTGACTTACTCATAGGCTCCTGAGAATTCGGGCTCTGCCCTGCCAAGTAAATGAGCGATGAAGTCCGTTTCACAGCACACATGAATGTGCCGTTCGTGGGGACAACAACACAGGCCCTCATACAGAGCAGCACAGTATCCCTTCTCCTCACTGGACTCCACCTCCCCAACCAAGATGTTATACGCTCTGAGCACTTTATTCTTACAGTCTGTGCAAAACCTGTTGACAAAAAGGAACTTTAGGATGTCATGGTTCATCAGCTTATTCCTAAAACAGTGTTTCATGGAGGAAATCAAAGCATTCTAGTAATCTGTGATCTTATTGCTACAGATTACCTGTGTTTACGCAAGTATGCCTCCAGTGTTTCAAGGAGACTGGCACTGTCGATGAGGACCACCTCATCCCTGCATTCTTGAGACATCAGCTCCCACACATCCATCCAGCTCCCCCTGTATAATACAACCACCATCACAAAATTTAACAATCATTGCTAAGAAACAGATTTGCTTTGGGGGAACTTGGGAAATAATCTAAGTGCTAAATTAGCTTGTTGATAACAGCATATTTGCACGCCAAACAGAATACAAAGCAAATACATCACACAGATTAACCAAACTTTGGGTATTTGTGTTACCATTAGCTTGCAGATGAATGTAAGCTGCTGTGCTTGTGTGATGTTAGAGCAGATGATGCATGCTCAGAGGTAAAGTTGCATTCGGGCCTAAAAAAATCCAACCTGACCCGGCCCCAGCCAGTAGCCCATAGCCATTTTTTCCGAGCCTACCCAACCCAATAAATTAAACAGTAATTACAGGTCCGAACCCAAAAAAAAAAAAAACCCAACATTTTTTTAATTAAGCTTTTTACTGCTTTTGCAAGCAAATCAGTTTGACATGATAGTTTTAAGAATGTAATGAAAGGAAGATATAAAATTTCATGTTTATTAACAAGTCACCAAATGGATATTAACATACAAAACGAATAGACTTTAAAAAAATCAACTCTAAAGATGGGCTCATTAAACAGATGAACAAAAATATTTTTAGAGCAAAATTATTTGGAAAAATATAGAACAAGGATATTTTAATTGAACATCAATCAACCTTTATTTATACAGGTAAATCCCATTGAGCCTCGAGGACTCATTTACAAGAGAGACCTGATTTCAACAAAGAAAGATGACAACAATGGACAACAGCAACAACAATAAACAGTTATAAGAAAAGCATACTACAGTTTTTTTTTGCTGCTCGTTTTGGCTTTTGTGGTTTCAGGTGCTGCAACTTCCTTCACTGCAGCAAGAGCAGGCTCCAGGCTCAACCACCTGGAGCAGAAAAACTCTTACGTCCGTATGCTCTTTGTGGATTTCACATCCGCCTTCAACACGATGATCCCCCAAACCCTGATGGACAAACTATCCACACTAGGACTAACCCCCTCCATCTGCAACTGGGTACTAGACTTTTTAACAAACAGACCACAGTTAGTGAGGATCCACAATCTCTCCGCCTCCACCATAACCCTCAGCACTGGCTCTCCTCAGGGATGTGTGTTGAGCCCCCTCCTGTTTACTCTGCTCACGTATGATTGTGCAGCTACCCATCCAGGCTGTCACATTGTAAAATTTGCAGATGATACAGCGGTGGTGGGATGCATCACAAACAATGATGAGTCCAGCTACAGGCAAGATGTGGAACACCTGGAGAGCTGGTGCAAAGAGAATAACCTTCACATCAATGTGAAGAAGACAAAGGAGATGATTGTGGACTTCAGAAGGAACAAAAACATCTACACCCCCCTGAACATAAGAGGTCTGCGGTGGAAGTGGTCTCCAGCTACAAGTACTTGGGTGTACACATGAATGACAACCTCAGCTGGAGCAACAACACCACCAGCCTGATCAAGAAAGCTCATCAGAGACTCTACTTCCTCAGACGGCTGAGGCGAGCTGGTCTGGGAAGCTCAGTCCTCACCTCCTTCTACAGGTGTGCAGTGGAGAGCATCCTGTGCTCGAGCATCAACGTGTGGCATGGAGGCTGCACAGCTGCAGAAAGAAAAGCTTTGCAGAGAGTGGTGAAGGCTGCACAGAAATCTGTCGGAATCAGCCTCCCCACCATCACAGACACCTACACCTCCAGATGCAGGAAGAGGGCCACCTGCATCATGAAGGACCCCACTCACCCAGCACACACACTTTTTGCCCCACTCCTCTCAGGAAGGAGGTTAAGGAGCATTAAGTGTAGAACCACTAGACTGAGGAACAGCTTCTACCCTGAGGCTGTTAGACTTACCAGGCATTTTGGGTTTTCATGAGCTGTATGCCATAATCATCAGTATTAAAACAATTAAAGACCAGAAATATTTCAATTGGTGTGCAATGAATCTAAAATATATGAAAGTTTCATTTTTATCATTACACTATGGAAAATAATGACCTTTATCACAATATGCTAATTTTTTGAGAAGGACCTGTATGTATGTATATATATGTATATATATGTATATATATGTGTGTATATGAGTTGAAAAGGATGTTCTGTGGACGCATTCTCATCTCCCTGCCAGCTGTGCTCGAGTGCCTGACCACTGAGATCCTGGAACTAGCAGCTGGAAACATGGCTCATAACAGCGGAAGGACAGGATCGTCCCTCAGTACCTACAGTTGGCTGTCCGCAGCGGCGAGGAGCTCGGCAGACTGCTGGAAGGAGTGACCATCGCTCTGGGAGGAGTTCTGCCCGGCATTCAGGCGGTCCTACAGCTCGGGGGAACCAAGAGGCCAGCCGAGTCTGGGTGGACGGATCAGACGGCATCTGCGGCCAGTTTCTTAGGATCCACTGTGGGATGGACCTTTACAAGAGATCCTTCCTTTCTACAGTCATCAGTATCTATAACATCTCTTAATGAAATGAGGATAACGAATTGCAACAACAAATAATTTCCCTTTGGGATAAATAAAAGTATTTTTGAATTGAATTTGAATATATATATATTAGGGTTGTTATAGATAAACCGATACGACCGGATATTCGATTTGACAAGCTAGCGATATGGTTGTGTCGGTAGCAGCCTTATAAATCGACAGCAACCAGCCACAAATGCTGAGATGAACCGGTTGAAGAGACATGAACCGGGTATCGTGAGACTAGCTCGGTTGACAGTGCGTTTATAAAACAACGCGAGAGTCGGAAATGCCCGCAAAGCTATTCTCACGCATGCTCCGTAGCTCAACAAGACAACGAGAATGGATGTAAATAGTAGCAGCGTTAGCGGGTCACCGAGAAAGATTTTCAATACAGCAGCCAGACAAAAGTCTAAAGTGTGGAACGTTTTCGGGTTTTACAAGAAGGACGGAAAACTCGACAAAAACCACGCCATTTGTAAGCTATGCAGAGCACCTCTGAAGTACACTGGTAGCACAGCAAACCTTGATCAACATGTAACGAGAAAACACAGAGGAGTATGGCGAACTTCTCAAGCCCCATAACAATGAGCAGGAGCAGGCAGCTGCCACACAGAGAGCGACGGGTAACGTTATCACTAAATTTTACGGGCAACTCGGCGACAGTTCATCACGAGCTAAGGATATAACGGCATCAATAACCCGTTTCATAGCTAAGGGCTTATGGCCGTACAATATAGTGGAGGGGGAAGGATTTCAGGATTTGATTCATACGTTAGAGCCCAGATATAAGATTCCGTCCCAGCAGCATATCACAAACACATGCATGCCAGCGTTGTATGCCCAAGTGAAGAGCCAAGTTGAAAAAGAATTGGCACATGCAGAGAGAGTTGCTATTACAACTGATGCCTGGACGTCATGCTCCACTGAGTCTTATGTGACCATCACTGTCCACTACATCTCTCCAGACTGGAAGTTAAATGTGCATGTGTTACAAACCAGGGCATTCAAAGGATCCCACACTGGGAAAAACATTGGTGCTCTGCTAAAACAGGCATGTGTTGACTGGAACCTTCTTGATAAAGATCCAGCCCTGGTGACAGACAATGCCACAAACATGGTATTAGCTGGAGTGGAAGCAGAGATGACCCCTCACCTCATGTGCTTTGCACACACTATTAATCTCACCACACAGAAAGCCTTTAAAGTTGACACAGTAGCAAGGTTGCTGGGGAGAGTGAGGAAAGCCGTTGCCTTTTTTCATCGTAGTGTGAGGGCAGCAGAAATCCTTCAAGAGAAACAGAAACAACTAGCCTTGCCTTCCCACAAACTCATCCAAGATGTATCCACGCGGTGGAATAGCTCCCATGACATGCTTGAACGCTTTTTTGAGCAACATCCTGCGATTTCTGCAGCACTCATGTCCAGGGACCTCAGAAAAGGAGAAGAGGTGAATACTCTCAAGGACAAAGACTTCTGCGACATTGAAGACATTGTCAAACTGATGGCGCCAGTCAAACTTGTGACTACCAGCATGTCTGAAGACAAGCGACCCACACTCTCAATGATTCTTCCTGTAAAAGCCAAGCTTAAAAAGAACTTTGAACCATCAGATGAAGACTCAGTGTTAATCAGAGATGAAGCAGGCGTTCAAGAATGACTTGGAGAAACGCTACACAGGCCTTGAAGATCTCTTCCACACTGCAGCAGCTCTGGACCCCCGTTTTAAGTCCCTGCCCTTCCTCAGTAACCATGATGCAGAGAGGACATTCACAAGCATATCAGCAGAAGCAGCATCCCTGCATCACAAGGTAAATCCCCCAACACACTGTCAAAATACATATTACAGTACATTCAGTTACAGTCTGCTGTGTTTTGTTGCTGTCATTAGATATATTCTGACTACTGTTTATTTGATTCTTTACACTGCATTTAACCATACTGTACACTAAATGTCATTTCATGTTTTATTTCTAGGTAACGGGGGGTTCAGTTCAGAGAGGTCCAGTGCAGACTGATCCATGTCAGAGTGAACCTGCAAATGGAGATCCGGACATCTGCATTGATGTACCCCAGACCCAAGATGAGCATAAAGGTTTGTGTGTTTTATAACTTGTGATCAAGAACGAGAAGACTTTGTCTTAAACTTGTGCTGCAGTCATAGTATCAGTATAAAACACATTCACTATAATAAGAGGATCTGCATGCAAAGAAAGAGTTCAATAATAATGATGATGATAATGATACATATTTTACATATGTACACGAGTCCTTACATAAATAAATTCTGAACATCAAATGAAGATTTATACATAAAATGGTAGTCAATTAAAAAACTTCATGGCAAACATAGCCAGTAATATATGGTTCTTGTTTTCTATTTCAGATGATAAACCTCCTTGTAAAAAGAAGAAAATGTCAGCCCTGGACCAGCTGTTGGGAGAAGACTTTCAAGTAAGGACGGCATCTAGATCTGTGAGGGACCAGGCCAATGAAGAAGTCAAGAGGTACAGAGAGTGTGATCCTTTGCCCCTGAACAAAAACCCACTACAGTGGTGGAAAGAGCAACAGGACTTGCCACTGCTGTCATCTATGGCTAAAATGTATCTGTGCATACCGGCCACCAGTGTGGCATCTGAGAGAGTTTTCAGCACTGCAGGAGATATTGTTTCCACAAAACGCAGTCTACTCAAACATGAGCATGTGTATCAGCTGATTTTCCTTAAGAAAAATCTGCTGCAAAAAAAAGATGAGGACAGTGATTATGATGAATAAAAATATAGGTAAACATACAAACATAAGGAAGTGAACTACTTCACTGTGTTTGAGTGCAGATTGAACCTGACGTGAATGTAGAAATGCAGGACATTACTTTTGTTCAGACTACCTCACCAGGTCAGAAAGCTGCACTTTGATTTCTTTTATACATGTAATCGGCACTTTGACTGTTGATATGTGCTGCTGATTATCCATGCTGCTGATCTGATCTCATGCTGCTGTTTAAATGACATGATGTTATATTAATCTGTGCCCACCTGCTCACACAAACTCATGTTCGTGCTGCTGTTGTTAGGCGTACTGTTCTTGCATTATGTTTTTGTATTATTAAGTTCAAGTTCAAGTTGTGTTTGTCATATGCATGGTTAACACAATGAAATGTTCAGGATGAGAAGAACCGATTTGACTTGCTAAAAAACAAAAAACAAGCAAACAAGAAATACTAAAGCATGCAATAAGGGTACAAAATAAACTACCAAAATGTGAAAAAGTAATTATAATATTTACAAAGTTTCTGAAGAGAAAAATGGTAAACAACATTGTAGAATTTTTACAGTGAAGCAGAATGAATTTGTGTGAATAAGTATTTCAAGGTAGTAATGTAATATAAGCCAAAATGCACATGATATATATTGCACAACTACCAAACTATGCAGGGTATGTGACAGGTTATTGCACAGGTGCTTTGTGCTTACTGTAGCTTATTCCTATTTTTTTTTTTATTACATGCTGCTGTAATCATTTGTGCATTTTATAATTTTTCTTTATTTTCTCATTTTATACTGATCCCATCAAACAAAGAAATATTATTTTGGCTGGTCTTTTTAGGTCCATGTCTAAAAATAAACACATTTGACATGTGATTCTGTTGTTTGGCTTTTTACTTTATTTTTGCCAGTGCCTTACTGCACGCTTTTAGATATGATATATGTAGACTTTTACAAATTTAAAAATAATGTAAGAATGTCACATTTATAGAAATGGCCCTTTTTGTTCATAATTAATATTTGTCTACATTCAACAAATGTTAAACTGTAGAATTATATAAAGTTGAATCGAATCGTTCTGTTTTTAAAATAAATCGTTTTTGAATCGAATCGTAACCTTTGTATCTAGATGCGAATCGAATCGTCTATCACACAGAGATGTACAACCCTAATTATATATATATATATATATATATATATATATATATATATATATATATTAGAAATGTTTCGTCTCTCATCCGAAATACTTCCTCAGTCTGAGGTGCTGTATTCAGCTCAGTCTCTTAAATAGCACCTTCTCAGAGTGGATCACCCAGTTTGCTGCTGACAACCAAAACCACCTGCTCACATAATCAAGGAGGACCATCAGCCTAACGATGGATTATTAGCACACTGATGGCTGTTTACTATTCACAGGAGGCTGAGTGATACTAGCAATAAAAAGATGGGGACATATGAACACGGAGGCCTCCACCCCTGGTTAATGGTGGATGGTTTCTTGTCACAAAGATGGCCTCCTTTACTCCGCTCTCAAACCATCGTTCCTCTCTATCCAGGATGTGAACATCTTCATCCCTGAACGAGTGACCGCTGACCTGGAGATGAGTGTAGACCGCAGAGTCCTGGCCTGATGATGTTGATCTTCTGTGCTGGTCCATCCTTTTGGCCAGTGGCTGGTTAGTTTCCCCCATGTAAGACTGATCACAGCCCTCCTGACACTGAACAGCATACACATTACTCTGTAGTGGTGTCAGAGCCAGCTTAGCTGCACCTTTCACTACTAATTATTTAAATACAACGGGTTCTCTCTTTTTCGAGTTAAATTAAGGTCATGTGACGAGATAACTGTGATGACTGTTTAAATCAGTGACATGAGACTTTAATTTCCTTTGACCCATCAGAATAAATGTGGTCATTTATTTAACAGAATCAAAATTTAACATCAAAATATGTACACGTGATTAGCTAATCTGGTTCTGATTAATAAAACTTGGCACGTTTTACTTAATAAGACAACAAGACATTTCTGAAGGCATTTAGATTACTGACAAAATAGAAGAGTTTTAAAGGAAGGATTGAAGGAGTTTAAATGGAAGATAGATGAAGGAAAGATGTATGTTTTGTTTACCAGAATTAGCACGCTTCTTTCAACACCAGCTCAAACCCCGGTCCACTTAGTGCACGACAACTCGTGACGTCTCTACATTTGCAGATGATGGATCAGCTCCGGTCTAGATGTCCCTATGCACGCTACCTTTCAGCGTCTCCGGTAAGAGCGGCTGGCCATCGTCAGAAGTCGTGTGGTTTACTCTGTTAAACAGAACAAGCTTCCTTCGAAGTTGTAGGGCGTTACGCCCGGGTGAGTTCACAGCGAGGTGCTGTGACTCCGCTGGGATGGACGGACCCTCTTCTCACGGTCAAATCCATCAGCTATTGATTAAATCTGAAAGTTCCTTAGGAACTCTCAGTACGACTCAGTCAGAAATTCCACTCCGAAGTAGAAGACTCCATAGTCCCAAGAAAGACTCAGGAAACTGGAAGACAAGACTGAAAAGACCTGAAGCCTGAGAGACTCAAGAAGACTTGAAGACTAGAAGTTCCAGGAAGTGTGGACTTTTAAAGAGTTTTCACCTCCGGTCACTTCAGGACTTCCTGATTGGTTGAAACAACCAACAGGGGGTGGTTCCAGTGATGTCAGAGGGTCACTACAAGTCAAGAGGACAGCAGGAATGTTTTAGGAACTTTTAGTACAGACAGAAGAAATGTTTTGAAGAAGTGAGAGCAAGCAGGTGCCAGTGTTTCTTATTTACTGTCTGCTAGGTTTAAAAACAATACAGCCTGTTCTAAAAACTTCTTTCTGACTGTCTCTGACTTTCGACCGACATCACTACTTCTCATTCAGACAGAAGATCAAAATGCATAATTACTTTGTAAATAGACATTTAACTTGATTTCTAATTTAAATGAGGATTAAAAAAAATCATTAATACTGTTTCACAGTTGATTTAAAATGAGTGGTTCAACATTTAGAAATGATATGAACTAAACACACTTTTGATTTATCAAGATATTGTAAAATAGTAATGATAATATAAAAAGAAGAGTGTTCTTTCAATTGATTACTTCAGGATACAATTAGACAGTCTCTGGATGAGCCAATTTGTATTTCTGGATTCAAATCAATGAAATAACAGTTCCTGTCCCATGAAGGTCCTCAGAGGCAGGTTTTGGTCGGAGGCCGAGTTCACTACAACTCTGTGCCAGGGGACTGGATCTTTGGGATGAACCAGTCTTTGCCGTAATGTATTTTGGTGTTTAAAAGCCACTGGGACGTTGTGTTTAGAAAATAAACGTCTCAGTTTCTCTGATACTCCCGCAACATTCCATGAGGAAGTCTTTCGGATGAAAGACGAAAGGTTTCTACAATTAAAAAAAATTTTTTTTTGAATGTCCAGAGGACCAGATTTAACTAGTTTTTAGATAAAGTCTAAATGCATACACATATTTCATAAAAGACATACAGAGATAAAAGAGCAAATTCATAAAAGTGTTAATACAAAATTGAGTAGGAAATGAAATGATATGCTTTCACAAATAATAACATTTTAAACATTTTCCTAAATATAACTAGAGTGAGGGCTTCTCCAAACCTAGAAGCAATGCATTTTAGTTTACTGGAGCAAAAATACAGAAGGAAGCTTCCCATGATATGGAAAAGGTACAAGGCAAGACCATGTTAGTACGATCTACAGACCTGAGTTATCTGATTGCTGTAGAAGTGATTAACATTCATATAGTGTGATGCAAGGGCATTTAATACTTTATATAAAAGTAGCAATATTTTTAAATTGATTCTGCTTTCAATAGGAAGCCAGTACAGAGTGTGAAACAGGTGTGTGAAGCGTTCATATATTTTAGTACACGTGAGAATACGAGCAGCTGCATTTTGGATCAGCTGCAGCCCGTGTACTGTAGAGTTTAAGAGGCTGGTAAAAAGACCATTACAATTGACATTAATTTATTTATTTTACAGATTTTGAAACCAACTTCTTAAATTTCTAAATGTTTCTCAAATAATAAAATCAGAATTTAGTAATTTGATTAATGCGACTTAAAATTTAGATCATGGGCTGTTAGTACACCCAGGTTTTATGCTTCACTTTTACACTCCAGAAACACAGAAGTGCTGTAACTTTGTCTTAGTCTTTGCATTAAATACATGTTTAATTTTTCTTTAGTTGTTGTGACATCCGTACAATAATATTAAACACTGTAAGGAAGTGTGGAGGATCTATATCATCAGAAGATAAAGACGTAAAACTGCTAATCCTCAGCATAATTATGATAGTTAACATCATGAAAGACATGTACAAGAGGAAGTACACAGACCAAATAAAACTGGACCAAGAAGTGAACCTGAGGTACACCACAAACACTGATGTTGCAAAGATTGAAATCACCAAAGCACACGAAGAATTGCCTTATTATACATGTAGAACTTAAACGAGGCAAGAAATGGACCGAGGAAGTGACCACAATTTTCAAATCTGTATTAAAAAAAAATTACAACCCCTAAAAAGCTGAAGAGTGAAAAGCTTTCTGAGATCCAGAAGTACAAGGACAAACTTTTTTTCTTTTTTTGAATAGGTGAGTGGGTCGTTCACAACTTTAATAAGTTCAGTTTCTGTATTATGGTGCAGCCAAAAACAAAGTTAGACTTAAGATATTTTTTCATTTTCTGCAGGTCAACAGCATTTTACTAAGGAATGATAAATTCAAAATAATCCTGTTATTAGAGATCAGTCAGATCTAGACTGTTTTTCTTTAGGAGTGGTTTGATGACAGCCAGTTTAATTGCAGCATAGAAAATACAAAGACTTGGTAAAGAGATGAATAAAAGCATTACTTACCCCAAAGGTTTAGGCTTGTGAGTGTCCAAGGAGTGCAACTGGCAGCGTTTGTTCTTTTTACTTTTCGGAATGGCATCAATTGTGTCATTTAACTTTGATCTGTAAATGAATAATAAAAATAAAAATTTACGCAACTGAATATATTATTTAGTGGTAAAACACAATCAGTTTGGAATGTATTTCTTGTGGCAATGACTAGAAAAACATCAGTATCAGTTCGACTTGAAAAATCTATGAGCAGTGGACATAAAATGATCACATTATTACTTCATAGTTGATAAAAAAAAATCCAGTGCTTTTCTTTAATTAAATCATACAAGTTACATTTCTGTCTTTCTAATAGCAACTACCATATTTTCCGCCGTACAAGTCGCACCGCCCTATAAGTCGCATCAGTCCAACTATGTCTAATAAAGTGGAAAAATCTATAAATATGCTGCTTCGCCGTATGCTGACGCAACACGTTTGTTACACGTCACCGCTGGCAAACGTGGACCGAACCCAGAAATGTGGGCCGGTGTTGTGCCAAAAATCGATGGTCTGCCAAATGCTGGCCGCGGGAGCGTGCATGGGAGGACTTTAACATGAATTTAATAAGATTAACACTTAAAAACAATTATTTATTTGCTCGAAATTATAGTAAAGGTGTGTCTCAGTCTAACTTTTACTTAATAAATGCACTTTGATGGTCAAATAAGCTGCATTTCAAAACCCGATTTGCGGAAGTGGGCACGCGCAGAGGGACGAGCCTCTGTGCATTTCTACAAAATTTAACAAGATAAACACCTAAAAACAATCATTTATTTGTTTGCTCGAAATTATAGTAAAGATGTGTCTCAGTCTAACTTTTACTTAATAAATGCACTTTGACGGTCAAATGAGCTGCATTTCGCCGGGGCGGCACAGTGAAATGAAGCTGATTCAGTTGCTACAGGCAGACAACAGTGGCAGGCTATGGCAAGCCAATTGTGTCAATAGCCACTTTTACCCATTACATGAAACAACGGTATGCCTTACTACTTGAGTGCCATCTAGCGTCTGAAAATGGTAGTGTTCCATTTTTTTCAGTCAGTGAATGAAAACAGTCACATCTCAGCCAAAAATTGGTTTATAAATATGGGGAAAAAAATCCATAAATGTCGCTTCAGCGTATAAGTCGCAGGGCATACAAAAAAACTGCAACTTATAGGACGAAAAATACAGTACTTGAATCAAACTATTTGGATTTTAAGCACTTTTCTAGTGAATACATAAGAAAAAAAACAAAAAAAAAAAACCCTTCTTTCTTACCCATGGATGTAGAAGAGAGAATAAAGCTTCTTCATGTCTGCCAAGCAGGACTTGGTGACCGTGAGCATGCCTTTAGGTTTCACCGTGAGGGGCTTCAGGGCTGGTTTTCCTGATTCCACAGAATGTGAGAAGAGGCGCTCGACGCTTCGTCTGCAGCCCACACACGGTACCAGCTGAGATAATGTACTGAACACTTCTCTTGATGTCACCATCAAGGCCATATTCAAGTCCTGCTGCTTCAGCTTGGAATAATACTAGAGGCGAGGGAATCACACCTATGTCAACAATTTATTTTTTCTAACTGACCACTCAAAAACAACAGTGTAAAATAAAAACTCTTCACCTCAGAAAACTGTTTCCAACGGGAAGTGTTGCGTTCATGGCTGTCAACATCCATCACACTGTCAGAAAACTCCATCACCATCTGACAACCAACAATATATACAGTATTAAACCTCAAGGTTTGTTTTCATCCATACCAGTCATTTTCAGGAAACACCTTCCCAAACTGCAGGAAGTTCTGGTTTGTCTCTAAAATCAGCTTGCACTGCCATCTAAAAGTCATCCGATCAGCTTTGTAACTTCAGAACATCACCAACATGTCTCCAAGTGTGACTTAGATAAGAACAGAGGCACCAGAAACTACAGATCCAGGCTGCTGATGCAGCTTTTAAACATTAGGTTTCTTCCAGTTTGCTTGCACAAAAGCCTACACCCAGTAAACAGTAAATAATTTATTTAGGATCAGACCAGTCGTTCTTCATGTTGTCCTTCGCTAATAAACAGTATTGATTGCACTCAGTAACTCTAGATTTGACAGATGATGGATGTTGTGCTGTGAGTAACTCAAAAACAACTTTTCAAAATGTGTTTCTGCAGCAACCTGAGCATTCACACTGTGACTAGTGTGCTGTTTTAAGTGCTTAATAAATAAAGTGGTATGCTATGGTAGTGTCTTTTCGGAAAACACATCTAAATACATGTAAAAATAATGTGTTGCCATGTGTTAAACACCCAGACTGAGCAGATTTTGTATGTGCTTCACAGAGAACTCTCAGTCCAAGTTAAACTTCACATTATTGCTCCCAAAACATTAAACAGTAATTGTGTGCCAGTATCAGAACATTACATTTCACTCTGCATACTAGGAACCTGTAAACTCACCGTGAGTGTGTCATCGATGTATAGGGGGATCTGTCTTGCCAGAAACGGGTAGTCCTCCTCCCCTTCCCTGCACACTGCTACCAATCGGGCCATGACTTCTTCCGATCGGATCTCTGGTTCTGTGCAGCTCGCCTACAAGTGAAACACACAAACTCACTGTAATCGAAATACTGCAGCTCATTGAAGGAAACTCAGCATATTCTTGTCACTAACTCAGATAACAACGATCTCAATATGACCACTTTAAAGCACATTTTAAAAAGGGTCTCTAAAACTGGACCCAATACCACCTAAGCAACTGGTACCCAGATTTAGCTTGCTATGCTAGCAACAACATGGCAAACGAGAGCGTGGATGTATTAACAGCATAAATATTTGATTAATAAAGTGCAATTTGCTTATTTTGGTGAAACTGTAAGTTACAAGATTAGGTTAGCCTCGCAGAAAATAGACAGCTAACTCCAGTTAATGTTAGCCTGCTAGCTAATTCTATTTCACAATATCACTCACTACTTTAAAAATCAAAAATGTCGTTCAGCGAAATTTTAGGAGCAATATTACAAATAATATACTATTTGCTCCTCGATAATAAACACGTTAAAGAGTTTATACGATATGCCTGTCTCGTCGGTGCCAACTGACTTGGCTAACCTGCTCGTTAACGTCGCTGCTAACGTTAGCATGCTAATCTAAGCTAATATAAAGTTAAATCCAGTGGCTACTTAGCGACGAACACTGTCGTCAGTTTTTCGACCTTACACTTCAAACACCGGCGTCTCCGCAAGGTAAAGGTGCACTTGACTAAACCCAACCACGATTTTGACTTACCTTCCTCTGAAAGTTACATAAAAAAATAAACAAGTGCGACAGCGAACGAGGCAACTACGGCAACAGAATCTTTACTGATTCACCTTTAGTCTCAACGTAACGCTGTTCAACGTACAGCCAGCAGGGGGCGCCGCTGAGGCTTGAAGGCTCATTGATTACGCAAGAGGCCATCTATTTTATCTATTATTTGTCCCCCTGAAATCCGGAAGACATAAAAGTTTATAAATGTATGTTTTTATGCAGTATAGGTATGATCATAATAACCTGCTAGATCATTTTAAACGTTTTTATTTACCTGTTTATCATTTATTCCATGTTGTGGACATTAAGACTTATACAAACCGGATTCCAAAATAGTTGGGACACTAAACAAATTGTGAATAAAAACTGATTGTAACGGTGTGGAGATGGCAAATGTCAATATTTTAGTCGTAATATAACATAGATGACAGGTCAAAAGTTTAATCTGAGTAAATGTAACATTTTAAAGGAAAAATATGTTGATTCAAAATTTCACAGTGTCAACAAATCCCCAAAAAGTTGGGACAAGTAGCAATAAGTGGTTGGAAAAAGGAAATTGAGCATATAGCAAACAGCTGGAAGACCAATTAACACTAATTAGGTCAACTGAGAACATGATTGGGTATAAAAAGAGCTTCTCAGAGTGTCAGTGTCTCTCAGAAGCCAAAATGGTAAAAGGATCACCAATTCCACCATTGTTGCACAGAAAGATAGTGCAGCAATACCAGAATGGTGTTACCCAGCGTAAAATAGCAAAGACTTTTAAGTTATCATCATCAACCGTGCATAATAACATCATCAAAAGATTCAGAGAATCTGGAACAATCGCTGTGCGTAAGGGTCAAGGCCGTAAAACACTACTGGATGCTCGTGATCTCCGGGCCCTTAAACGTCACTGCACCTCAAACAGGAATGCCACTGTCAAGGAAATAACAGAATGGGCTCAGGAATACTTCCAGAAAGCATTGTCAGTGAACACAATCCACCAGCTGAAACTCTACAGTGCAAAGAGGAAGCCATTTCTAAGCAAGCTCCACAAGCTCAGATGCCAGACCACATTCTGCAGCAATCACAACATCATGGCTACGTAGGAGAAGGATCCAGGTACTGAAATGGCCAGCCTGCAGTCCAGATCTTTCACCTATAGAGAACATGTGGCACATCATAAGCAGGAAGGTGCGACAAAGAAGGCCCAAATTGATTGAACAGTTGGAGGCCTGTATTAGACATGAATGGGAGAGCATTCCTATTTCTAAACTTGAGAAACTGGTCTCCTCTGTCCCCAAACGTCTGTTGAGTGTTGTAAGAAGACGGGAGGATGCCACACAGTGGTAAAAATGGACGTGTCACAACTTTTTTGGGAATTGTTGACACCATGAAATTTGGAAACAACAGATTTTTCCTTTAAAATGATACATTCTCTCAGTTTAAACTTTTGATCTGTGATTTGTGTTCTATTCTGAATAAAATATTAGATGTTGGCACATCCACATCATTGCA